ACGGCACACAACAGAACTCACTTGTAGTACCAGTAGCTCGCAGATGTGTTACTTTTAGAGTCTTTTTCATGTCTACTTCTAGAAGCTAATGATAAAAAACAATAACAGACGGTTTGAGCCGGAAGTAATCGACGTGGCTTATTTTTTAACGGAAGTACGTCACCACTACCCGTGGCATATAGTCCATTGAAAGAACACTCTTCTTTTTACATTATCATTACTATTTTAGAATATCTTGATAATCAAAGTGTATTTAGTTCATACCATTTCTAAATGTTGAAGTGAACCACTCATTTTAAATCAACTGTGAAACAGTATTAATGATTTTTAAACCTTATTAGAAGTCAGAAATCAAGTTAAATGCCTATTAATAAAGTAATTGTGCATTTTGATCTTCTGTCTGAATGAGGAGTAGTGATGTCGGTCAGAAGTCAGGGATGTCGGTCAAAAGTCAGAATGCAAGTTATTAGAACGAAGTGTCTTGTTTTTAAACCTAGCAGACAGTAAATAACTTCCACTGGCATCTGCAAAGTTTCTCAGTTCTTCAAAACATTTCTCTGTCTGTACTAAATGTTCCTAAACATTCCTGCTGTCTTTTTGACTCCTAATAACCCTCTGACATCGCTGAAACACCTCCCCTGCTAGTTGTTTCAACCAATCAGGAAGTACTAAGTGACGAGAAGTGAGTACTCTTTAAAAGTCAACACTTCCTGGAACTAGTCAGTCTTCTGAGTCTTACTAGAGTCTTCCTTGAGTCTTTCACCGGAGTCTTCCACTTCTGAGTGGAACTTCAGACTCAGTCTTCTTCAGTCTTCCTGGAGTCTTACTCAGTTTTCCTGAGTCTTTCTTGGGACTATGGAGTCTTTCTGAGAGTTCCTAAGGAACTTTCAGATTTAATCAATAGCTGATGGATTTGACCATGAGACGAGGGTCCGTCCATCCCAGCTGGAGTCACAGCGCCTCGCTGTGAACTCACCCGGGCGTAACGCCCTACAACTTCGAAGGAAGCTTGTTCTGTGTTGGACGGAGTAAACCACACAACTTCTGACAATGACCATCCACCCTGACCGGAGACGCTAGAAGGTAGCGTGCATAGGGACATATATACTGGAGCTGTCCATCCACTGCAAAGGTAAAGAGACGTCACGAGTTGTTACGCACTAAGTGGACCGGGGGTTTGAGCTGGTGTTGAAAGAAGCGTGCCAATTCTGGTCAACAAACATACATCTTTATTTCATCCATCTTCCTTTTAAACTTATCTATTCTTTCCCTTAAACTTCTATTTTGCCAGTAATCTAGATGCCTCAATCAGTAATGTTCTGTCTTGTTAGTAAAGCGTGCCAAGTTTTTATTAATCAGAAACAGATCAGCAAATCAATGTGTACATGTTTTGATGTTAAATTTTGATTCTGTTAAATAAATGACCGCATTTATTCTGATGGGTCAAAGAAAAAATGGCGTCTCATGTCACTGATTAAACAATCCTCACAGTTATCACGGTCACATGGCATTAATTTAACTCGAAAAAGAAAGAATCTGTTGTATTTAAATAATTAATATTCTTTGTGCTTGAACTAGCTTTAAGAATAATTAATTAGTAGTGAAGCTCCAGCAAAGCTGTTCCTTGCTTCACTACAGCAGATAGGTTGGCTAAAGAAGCTGTTGAAAAGAAGATATTGATATACCAATAAAGTTATCTAAATCTGAAGGCAAAAGTATAGTTTGGTAAGAAAGCAAGAAATTATGGGAAATGAGTTGGAATAATGAGACAAAAGGGAGACATTTATATAGGATACAAAATACAGTTGATGTTAAAAGAATCAGAGGAATAATTAGGAGGGAGGAGATAATTATAAATAGAATAAGAACTGGGCATAGTTTTTTGAATGGCACTCTTTTTAAGATGGGGAAACATCTTACTGGTTTATGTGATTGGTGTAATACCACA